ACACACACACACACACACACACACACACACACACACACACAGAGTACAGTTACTCCAGCTCTAACACTCTGTAAAATGTTTCAGTATTCTTTTAAAGTGCCTGTGACTTCAATTTATTTAATAAACTTGAATTAATTTTTGGAAAGATCACATTGATAACTTGTTGCAAAACAATTTTCACACTGCTGAGATGAACAGTTGTTGAGATATTCACAAGTGAAGTAACAGGAAGTGATGACAAAGAGGGAATGCCTGCGGGGAAAAAATGGAGAATTGCTACAAAAACCAATAACAAGCTGTAGAGAAGAATCTGATGTTTCTTTAGATGAGTTTGAGTCCCTATAAGAGAGATAAAGAGTTAAGAGTTCAAATAACTGATCTCAATTCATAGGTTGCAACCAGCGTAGAGCGCTGCATTCATCGGCCACTTGCGTCACATAGGCACCTGAAGAAATTAATTTTGGTTTGTTTACTTACTGATTTTTTAAAGTACCATGCGTTCTTTAGTTTTTGATAGGTGAAACGTGATATATTTTTCTAAATTGCGTGAATATTTATGTGATTAAAATGATTTTATGTACAGACTGGTCTGGATGGCTAGACGATATGGTCACTCAGAACAGGAGGTAGATTTTAGTTAGATACATGCCTGAAAACATTTACAACACAAATGTTTTCACATTACAACTCAGTTTTCTCTGTTATGAAAGATTTCTGGCCACATGATAGGGAGAACATCCATCGATGTGACAGCTTGCCTCTTCGGAGTGGCCAGAACCTGAAGGAGTTGTTGATAAGATGAATATAGATAACTTAATGAAGAAAATATTCAAGTCTTAATTCTGTATTTGTTGCCTTGTCCTTTACACGCATCTGAGTAAATATTTTACACGCCTACTCAGGTGGCCGACAAAACCCAGAAAACGTCAGCTGCTTCTGAGTATCCTATGCGGCCGACCGTATCCCAGAATTCATTTAGCTGTCAGCGAATTTAACAGAAAAACAAAGATGAAGTGGTTTTTTTTTTTATTTTACAGAGGGGTTTTTCTTTTTTTTTTTTCTTTTTTTTTTGTGACGGAGTTTGTAAATTTATTACAGACCGAAGAATGTAAGTTAAACAACTTAGCTGAATGCAGTTAGAAGTACTGATACTGGAGCTAAACCCAAATTATTAATGCTTTTTATGTATTTACTTGTGACGTTTTCTATTCAAGCTGTATTTTGTGAAGTTATATCTTAAAAAAACAACAGTGCATGCTCACAGAAACACACGTCTTCCTTAGACTAGACCGTCTCATTTCACAGCCGTTTATGCAACCCATGAATTGAGACACAGCCATTGTTTCAATTACCAAAGAGCAGGGAGTTCCCCTTTGATGTCACTTCCTGTTTCACTTTAGTTGCACCAAATTCAAAAGAAAATATCCCAGTTATGTGACAAAATGGGTAAAATTGTGTGTATTATGTCACGTTTCTTAAATATAAAGGTGCTTTCTTTGACATGTTGTATAAAGCAGAGGCTCCCAAACTGGGGTCCCGGGGGTCTTAGGGGTCCATTTCAATAAATTGTTAATTTGGTTTTTATTTTTAAAAATGCATATGAGGAACAATGCACTAGTAAAACAAACATACTAAACCAAAGATAAAATAAGGTTACCATGGCATTTAMGGTTTAAAATAACATTTTGCATCAACAGCATGGGGTTTATGAGGGGGTCCCGGGATTTTTTTTCACCCTTGTAAGGGATCCCCAGACCGAAAAATGTGAGAACCCCTGGTATAAAGGATTTATACGTCACAGGAACTTTAAATACTAACTACAGTGAAATGTTGGCTCATGTAGAGTTTTTTTGAGTAATTATGAGGTTGTAGCCATTTCCTTTTTGTCACTGAGAGACGACAGCTCAAACCATTACACTTAAACAACTAACTTTGGTTTTAACGTTTTATTTATGCTCAAAACCAAAGATTCAGATGTGGAGCTTTTTCTTGTTATCAAAAATTGAGTTCCTTCATTAATGCAGATTMAAAAGTTGATATAAGTTGAGAAGAACCAATCTGATGAGTAACCACGCACTGATGACAAACTTTATTTTATTCTGTAGCTGCCTGTTTTCAGTCACGTCAGCAGAGGTGGTCGTAGGTTGGCCTTATCTCAGACGTACTGCACATTTTCTATACACTTCAACAGCTGACATCATTGTTTTAACAAAAAAACCCGTTTGAATAAATCCTTTGTTTTAGTTAGAAAGAATTCAAAAGAGAGYGATGTGGTCAGATGGCTTTCAGACGTTCAAAAAGAAAGAGTTCAAGAGAAAAAAACAAATACTTGGATTTTATTTTTCTTGTTTTATTTTTTCATCCAACACCAGTCACTTTGCTGACYTAGTTTGAAAGTGAAAGTGCAGCTGCATGCACAAACCCGTTATGAGATGTAGTGAGTTACTACCACACCAAATGTTAGCTTAATATCAGTTAAACTGACAGAGATATAGCCTTTGTTGTTATTTTATTTCAGTCAACTATGGCAGCCATTCAGAATCAGTCTGACTCTAAAAGTTAATCTGTTTTAGGTGATTACTTCCTGCTGGTTTTATTACAGTTCATTCAGTGGRTCTTGAAATAGTTTGCTAACGCAGATAAAAACATTGCTTTCCTTTCATTTTTCAGCTGCAGGAGATAAACAATGTACCAGCTGACGTTAGGGCCACTCCCTCTGCTGCATTTCAAGGAAAAAGGAAAACTCTTTTATAAGAAAAGTGTAAAAAGGAAGTGAAAAGCTCTGCAGTCAGACTGAACACACAAAGGAAGGAGACGTAAAGAAAACGCTTTATTTTTTGCAGCTCGCTGACAGGATTTGGAGAAAACAATAATCTGGGGAGAGAAAAACGCAACAAGATGACAAAATATGAGAACATAGGTAAAGTTTTGTGATTTTGATGACGGAGGAGGATGGGGAATGTGTTGATGTGGTTAATATCAGCGCTCAGCTGAACTGTGAATCCTCTTTTTAACTACTGATGATGGACAGCTTTAAGAGCCACAGTCACATTTTCCATGTTTGTTTTAAAGCGGCGTGTCACAGCTGCTTCTGCTCTGTGTTGGCAGGAAATGTTTGGGTATCCTGTGTGCGTGTGTGCTGAAGTGTGTCATATATGAGCGGTTATAATAGACAATCCGCCTCATACGGCTCTGTTTCCACACATAAAAGGAATTTGATCTTGCTGAGTCGTTGATTAGGGTGAGGTGGACCCGTACTGTAACGAAGCAGGATGTTCAGAGAGGTTTAACAGCATCGAGAACTCCTCTGTCGAGTGGATTTCCTGTTAAAAAAATCAAGTAAAAAATAAAGGACGTCGTTTCTGGGCATGTTTGTGGCCCCTGTTCTCTGACAATGACGGATCTTCAGCTCTCCACAGCGTCATCGTGGTCAGCCGGGGCCTCCGTCTCGTCTGAGGTGTTTCCATGGCGGCTGGCGAGGGTCGTTAGGGCCCTCCCTCCATCGCCAGGGAGACATTTTGTGGGTTGCTGAAGAACAGTTTTGTTCTCAAGGCTCTGCGGTCTTTACAGACACTCACGTACACACATACGTAGATCCCCACTTATTGTCGTTGTTTCTAGTTTTCATTCTTTATTTGATGCTAAGATGCAGGAAGTGTGTGGAAAGACAAAAAGAATTGTGCTGAATGTGGTGGTATGTGTTACTTCAGCCACGCAGCCCGCCCGGATGGTGACTTCAMTGTTCGTCAAGTGATGCTGTACCTGTAGTTCACCTGTTGTTCAAACTAAGCAGTCACAATCAGCTTCTTACTCACATTTTGTTTTATGTTTAACTCTTGTCTCTTTGTGGTTTCTCTCCTCAGGGGAGTCTAGAAAGTTCGACCCAAACTTCAAAGGACCGATCCAGAACAGGTACAAGTCTAATCGTTGACTTCCTGTCTTTGAAGACAACAATAAACATCACATTTTGTCTCTCCTCTCAGGAGCTGCACAGACGTCCTCTGCTGCCTTCTCTTCATTATTGCCTTGTTGGGCTATTTTGCTGTTGGCATCCTCGGTAAGACTCATCCTTCATTTCTGTAACATGATTTTGMTTATTTGAAATGCAAATATGGTGTAAAAAAGGAGTCAGTTACACTTTGATGTTATATTATGTTCATAAAGTRAGATAGATATAACCTTAGAACAAAGAAAACTAGAGAAATTGCATTTCGTGTGAAAATAGTGGAAATGCTTATTGCTGAAAGCTGCTGAAATTGTTTAATAGTAAAACTGTTTAGTTCAATTTGAAAAGCTGAAAGAAGCAAGAAAAAGTTAAACTTTGCAGATAAACTGTAGAAAACAGCAGAAATATAGCTGAAACAGCAGGGGGGAGAAGCTAATATTAGCAGACACAAGTTGAAATTATCACCCAGATGGTGAAAAGGGTGTACAAAATGTCCAATTAGAAAAAAAGCATAAAGGTACAAAAAAGTGACCATTTGTTGTAAAATAGCGAAAACAGCCAAATTGTGCAGTAAAACASCTAAAATGTAGCTGGAAATTCCTAAATTAACATAAGGAAGAATAAAGAGCACAGTTTCATTGAACTAAGCAGAATGAAGCTGCAATACCAACAAAAAATGTGAGTTTAGTTTAAGAAGGCTTAACTTTAGCTAATAACAGCTTAACATTAGCTACATTTGTTGCAATAACTGAATATAGCAGCAACTGTAAGAAGCATGCAAAGCTCAAATTAGCAAAAAGAAGTGCAAGAAACAAACAAAAACAATTGTGAATGCTTGTGAAGCGTTCACACAATAAATGTTTTACATTGTGCCAAAATCATATTCATGATTTTTAATGAGGGTCATCTTTACATAATGGTGCCAAAACCTGGGATTAACCCTGATGTCTAAAATGATCTAACTCACCTTTGCTGTTGACCAGTTTAAACACATAAGTATCTTTTTGATTCTCTTGAAAGCATCAGATTCTCTTCGTTTTGTTTATTTGAGGTAAAAAATGGAAGAAGCAGACAGTTTTTCCCCTCTCTTATAATAAATCTTAGGGCTGACTACCTCTGCAAAATATGATATTATATATTTATTCTCTCTGCAGCCTGGTCTCAGGGTGACCCCAAGAAGGTGATTTATCCCACAGACAGCATGGGACAGTTCTGTGGACAGGCTGGGACACCTCTGGAGTAAGTCTCCGACAGGAACTCCTCTCCACGGAGACGATCCTGGAGAAATCACATCTTTCATGTTAAAACAAACTGTTTCTCTGTTTCCTCGCAGGAAGAAACCTCTCCTGTTCTACTTCAACATCCTGAAATGTGCCAGTCCTCTGGTCCTGCTGGAGTTCCAGTGTCCCACCACACAGGTCCGTCCATGAAGCACTCATTACTGATCCTGCATCTCGTCACACAGCTTTGAAATATAATATTCAAACTGTGCATATTTGCCCACTTTCCTCCCACYTCTCTCACTTACTTAAGGTTTTCTCTCAAACCCTTCCAGAATGCTTCAGTTTCATTCATATTTTGGCTCCAGATTGTCTGTTTCAAACTGTTAGTAAAGAATAAATTTAACTTGTTGTATCTCCTACACAAAACATTATAGAAACATAAAGCTTGTCGCACAAACATCAGCGTCTTTTACTGCTCACGGTTCAAGAATTTGTAAGGTCTGACTTTTAGCTTTTGCACAGCGACTGTTTTACTTTTCAGTCTGCTTCTCGTTAACTTGGCAGGGAGTGACAGACAGGTGTGTTGTTACCGTAGTGATCATAACGAGCCAAAGGCGGCAGCTGTAATGTTTTCTTTTTATTCCGGCCATCTTGTCATTTTCTACAGTTCGTACATCAAAATATTGGTCATTTCTTATCGTAGCTTAATGCTTAATAAGTGATGTTTCTATCAAAGTGTTTTGATTTCCTACTTCAAACTACCGTCTAATGATTGGCGGCTGCTTCCTGTGTCCAGTTATGTGTGGAGAAATGTCCTGACAGATACCTCACCTTGGTGAAAGCCAAGTTAGGGAAAACTGAAGACCGTGACTACTACTCAAGTTACTGCAAGGAGGGAGTGGATTTTACCAAACTGGTGAGTTTTTATCTAATGTTTTTCTTTGTTTATATTCTTAACGAGCTGAGTTATGACAATATAATAACTAAAGGCTGCTTTACCTGATTCAGAGTCCTCCAGAGATCCTGAGGGATGGCCTGTGTCCTGCCATGTTGTTTCCCAGTAAAGCCTGTAAGGAGAAAAAAAAATAATGTTTCACTTCCTCTTCGGCTTGATGTTGCTGTAGCCATCAGTACAATAACGGTCTTTCCTCCGCAGTCACACGCCGCTGCCTCCCTGCTCTGCAAAAGCTAAAAGGCGGGGTGGTTGTGGTGGGCAACGAGACCACGTTTGTCGATGATGACAACAACAAAGTCAACGCCTCTGATCTGCTGGAAGCGTCAAAGTGAGAACTTGTCACCAAAACATAAACATCCTCAACAGATGACAGATGAAGGATGAAGTTATGAATGACTCCAGATTATCTTTAAATAATTKTCATTTAGTTATTAAACTAATGAAAGTTTACCTTATGTTGTTGTTTTTCATCTCATTTTTTTCTTGTTCAAAGGAAATCAAATTTTGCTTTAGAAGCTCGTCAGGTGGCCATGAGAATCTTTGAGGACTACACTCAGTCTTGGCACTGGATTTTACTGTAAGTCCACCATTAATGGAATTGATTGAGTCATCATCAGAGTTTTAAAGTAACCAAGTACAAATACTTTATTACTTTACTTAAGTAGAATTTTTGGGTATTTGTACTTGACTTGAGTAATTATTTTTCAGCCTACTTTTTACATTTTCATACAATTATCTGCACTTTCTACTCCTTTTATATTTAAAAAAGCAAGAAGTGGAAAGTCGTTATTTTTATTTCATTTTTGCTTGTTTTCATTCCAGCTTGTTGTAAAAAAAATACTATCCATATAAATTGTGCCTCCAAGATAGAGTG